CCATCTACAATATTAGTCCAGCCATATTCAGAATAACAAGAATACTCACTGAATCTGAGGAATGAATCAAATCAATTAGACAGTGGTCCGTCCAACGTACCTATATATAAAATATCAAAACAATTGGCTGGTGGTTTTCAAAAGGACATTTGTAGTGAGTATGAAACCCATACAATTGACGGTCAAAAATATAAAATTGACTTAGACTGGTAATCAGTAATATGAATAGCTCCACTCGTCTTTATCAAGAGCAGAGCTCGCAAAATAATTTACATGTAAATTAATAAATTATTAGAAACTCGTATTAGATATTCAACTACACAAACAGCAAGCATGTACAAAGTCTTGATTTATTTTAACTTCAAAGATGTGCAAAAAATTAAATTAGCTAATTACAATGAGCAGATCACTAAGGAAACTAAACAAGCAAACATTTGAGCAAACTGTTAGAATATAAACAAAACATGCTGATAGTTAATTAGTATGCAAATTAGCTAATTAGCACAAATTAATTTCAAAATAACATAGTGACATACACAAACAGTATTTATATTATAGCATTATCAATACCAGTGGATTTTATGACGTCATTGTAGCTGATTATTCGCGATAATGTATCCAATTAATGAGCATCAAGGCCCTGTCCCATGGATATGAATACAATGTTGTTTTCAAAAACGAATTTTGTGAGGGCATCGTCGTCTGCTCTGTACACTAGAGCATGTTCAGTTGAAGCATTCCATTTAGTACGTGCACTTCTAGATTCCGCGACTGATGCTGCTGTTCTCTTGATTAGTTTGCACTATCGTGTTGATGAAGTGAGGTTAACCGAGGGCGATTTATCCAAGCAAATGTGATAAACAAAGTGGGGGTACAATGTATGTCTACGAGTACAGAAAGATGAATTTGTTAGGTTTTTGTAGTGAGGAGTACCACACAATTTGCGAAACGAGATCGATGATGACTGACGTGACTTGTATTTCCGCAGCGTCGGCTCCTGGTAAATGTCACAGTCCGGGCACAGTTTGCATAAGCAAAAGAAAGTATCTGTGTTTTCAGGTGTGTATTTTTTTTATTTATACAGTCAGATTAAAATGTTGTATACCACCTGCAAATACGGCGTACCAGTCACGGTGCGCCGTTCGCTCGGGCGATCTCTGCAATGCGATCTCTGCAATGCTACTCCACACCACACATTCTCACTCGCAATGGAAATGAGTTCAATACAATAATATTGATGAATTAAAACTAGTTTCTTTCTTAGTTTGCCATATGAGATTGTGGAAACAATTTGCAGAAAGACATTATAAATTATTCAGATTCTCAGTGACTGAGAAACTATTTTGTTCACAGTGGATTTTCTCAAATTTTCCGCTTTTTAGAGGCAGCAAATTCACTGGTATTGACAACGCTACAAAATAATAATAATAATGAACTCAAGCACACTTTGTGCTCACGCCTCGTACATACATGTTGCACAAAGTGAGCTTTTGCCCATTATGGGTTGGCGGGTCATTCATTATTGTTTAATTATATACCGGTACTTTCAATCCATTCAAGCAAAAGGTTATAGTACACAGAAAAATTATAAAAGCCATTAATTAGTATGCAAATTAACTAATAAAAATGAACTCCATATACATGTATGTACTCGGCTAACGCCTCGTACATATATGTCGCACAAAGTGAGCTTTCGCCCAATATGGGTTGGCGAGTTTGGTTGTTACAGTACTGTGTCAACAAGACAACACAACATTGGGTGATGCACAGTACTGTGCCAACAAGACAACACAACATTGGGTGGTGTACAGTACTGTGCCAACAAGACAACACAACATTGGGTTGTGTACAGTACTGTGTCAACAAGACACCACAACATTGGGTGGTGTACAGTGCTGTGTCAACAAGACAACACAACATTGGGTGGTGTACAGTACTGTGCCAATAAGACAAATAGATCTTCGAAAATGAAATTATGATGCAATATATGAACTAAATAAACAAGCAGCCTCTCGGCTGAGATAGCTCTGCTGTTAGCAAGGCACATTTAGTATCAAAGCAATGGAACTTGCTGTTTTCAACAAGAATTCAAAAATATCACTTTTCACCAAAAATTACAAAAATATTCACCAAAATTAGGGAATTTAAGATATCATCACGAAATAAACAAATCTCAGAAAGGTCCACATGTAGCATTTATATATGTAATATCAAAGCAATTGGACTTGCAGTTTTTAACAAGAAGTCAAAAATACCACTATTTACCAAAAATATTCACCAAAATTAGAGAATTGAGGATATCATCACAAAATGAACAAATCTGAGAAAGGTCCACATGTAGTACCTATATATGTAATATCAAAGCAATTGGACTTTTTGTTTTTAACAAGAAGTCGAAAATATCACTTTTTATGAAAAATGA